AAGAAATTGTGGGTTGTGGGTTATGGAGGGTGAACCTTTGCAGTCCTAGAATCGTATCACGATTTCCCTCAGCAAAAACTAAACAGACGAAAGCAAATTACAGGGTGCTGATTTAGTTTCTTTTTTTTTAATAAAAGCTACTGTGATATTAACTGAAAAATGGCTGTAAGTTTGTTGGAATGTTATAGATGAGAACTGAGTCAAGGAGGATGGATTTACAATTCTTCATCTCACACAGAAAACTATTTTGGGGGGCATTATATCTCTACCAGCTTCTACATCTAAAAACATCTGATCAGTGTTGAAGCTTTTGCCGACTCTAAAGCTTTTTTCTTCCAATATTGTCTTATCCATCAACTCTAACCAGCTGTTATGTACTTGCTAAAAAACAAGCATTGTGACTGCATGGTGCTGCCACCAGTGTTTCACAATGTGTTCAGAGAAATGTGTAGCATTAGGTTCTCACCAGGCATGTGTTTAGTCTCATATGACCAGAGCACCTTCCTCCACATGCCGGTCTAAACATATGGTTTTAGGTGACACTTCTCAGGTCCTGGTTTAACACTTTCTGCAAGGATCCGATTTGTGGAGAGCAAGACAGTTTTCCTCTTGATCTACACTTCACTCCAGCTGTTCATCTCTGCAGCTATTTCAGTTGCAATGAGATTTTTGGATGCTTCTGCTAGATCTGTTCTCTTAACTTTGGGTGAATAGCTTGGTTGGTTTACAGTTATGCCATACCTTTTTCTTCTTTTTCTCATGACTGAACATTGCTCTATGAGACATTCAAGACCCATTAAAAAACTTACAATCAATAGCAGTTGTGGAGAGCAGTGTATTTGTTGGCTTTATGTGTAGGAATTCTAAAATAATGTTTACATAATATGTTTAACCTATGTCTATAATGGTTAAATGTTACATTTTGAGATGAAGATCTAAAGATGTCTAGTTTTATTAGCTCTCAAGTCTGTTTTATGGTAATTTTTACCATAAAAAAAGATTTAAATATGAGGTGTGATATGCTCTAGCCATACAACACACCTAGATTATAATTTTAAAAGGCCGACTTTAGCTTTGCTATCTCTATATTTCAGCCAATTAGTTTGCTTATTCACTCCTTTTATCTTAATGTTCAGCTGATGCATAATGCCAGAGGTTTAGGCGATCTTGATCAAAGATGCAATTACAATACAAATTTCTGTAACCAGCTTGAATTTATAAATTGAAATGCCCCAAAATCATTTGATGCAGCTTTGGTTATGCAATAATTAAATATTTCAGTTGATAATCTTTATTATCTTTCATGCCTGACAATCCAGCAGAGCAAAGACAACTTCACTGTAAGCTTAACTGCAGCTCTATATGGCACCACATTTAGTTTTGCAAGTAAAACTGTGTTTAATTTTAATGTTACTTTAATGCATATTTAATGCAGAGAATGCTTCCTTTGTTAAATGATTGATAAAAAAATAAATAAGGCTACAACATAGAACATGAAGTCATTCATTTTGCAAGTGTTTGGAAAACTAGCATAATGAGAGGTAAAATATTGTGAAAGCAATACAAGGATAAAATGGGAAATATTTGTTTGTTGGTTTAGAGATACTTTTAAAAAATAGAATTTCTCTTTCATTTTAAGCTTCTGATTTCTATTTATTATTATTTAGCAACAGAAACACTTAAGCAAATCGGAGCAAAACCACAAAATCAGACATTCATTACCCTCCGTTCCAAACTGATTTCACTCAATCTCAAACCTGACAGACTTCAAGGAAGGTATTTGCTAATGTAAGTATTTCTGGAATTCATTGTTTTTAAGACAGAGAAAGAAAAAAATAAAACAGGTGAGGAGATTGCCTTTTGGTACGCCAACAGCCAGGGGCAGGAATTAAATTCTCATTAGGAGCTGGCAGCACAGTTCTGTTCTTGAATCTACTTAATGCTGTTCATCATCAACAAGGTACAACTCCATAATATCAAAAGCATTGGTTATAGTGTGCTCTATGATTATTTTAAACATTAATATGGTGGGAGATGTGTTTTACAATTACAGTTTTACTGCAAAACTCCCCCCTTAGATACCAAGTGCTGGTCTTCCCACTAAAAGGCAAATATGCCGTTCTTCGTCTCAGAACCATACTTAGGTTTTCAGATCGAACGCCCCAGCAAAAATCATTTCTCCTCCTGTTTAAGGTCTTTTCTTGTTCACATTTTTACACACATATTTTTTGTTAAATCTGTTGATAATCTTTCCTTATGAAAAGGACTCCCAATAGGGTGGGACTGTTTATCCATGTGATGGCAAACAGCCTGATGGCAGAAATACAGTATGCTGTTAAAAAGCTAACTGCTAGAATTTTGCATGTGCAGTAGATTTAAGAAAAGGTTTAGCCCTGCATATCTAGACATTTTTTTTTTTTTTTTACAATATAAAAAACTTGGTTTTAAATCCTTAAGCTCACCATTAGAGGGCAGAGGAGTCCGTCTTTGATCTACAAGTTGTAATGTAGAAAGAAGTATGAGAATTATTGAAAAGTAATTAGAAAATAAATGTTTTTTTGTACAATTAACAACTGTTACAGTATCCACACATGGCTCTATGCACTAAACGTCTGCCTCAGGATCTTCCTTAGTAATGGATGAAGTAGATGACTTGGATGGGAGATCATTTACATGATCAACTCCTGAAAAGGTATTAAACTGTGCTAAGAGTGAGGACACAGAATACGATATGCTTGTAAATGGAGGCACAGCTGAGTGCTGACATGCAAAAAAAGAATTGCATCACAAATAATTTACCAAAGGAGGATTAATTATGTACAGCTTTATATAAATCTGCAATTAAAACTATGAGTTTTCATATAAAATACTGATGCATTTTTCAAATACGTTTGTATATTCAAGTAGATATAATACAAAACAGTGGGAGCTAATGAGCCTTGACATAGACTGAAATGGTGAGTTAAAACATTGGGTGGGGATTATAACTATCCATGTGCCAGGGAAATAGTTAGGATTGCATTACATGGACCTCTTCAACGTTCACCCCTGCTGGAGGGCTGTTAAGAGCTGTGACAGGTGCTGCTTTGCCCTTGATCACTAGTTGATCATCTACTTCCAAAACAAATAAAATGTAATCAAAGTAGCCAAACAAGAAAAAAAGGGATTTTTTTTGTTTTTACAATTACATTGTCAATTTTATTACCGAGAAATATGGCTCTCTAAAATCAACTGAATCTTTGTTTTTGCTTTGCTCAGTATAACAATAAATCACACCTCCCATTTTTATTATTCTCTTCCTGTTGTTTAATGACTTTCTCACACCCTCCAAATTTCCAAATTTAAATGCATACAACAGAGTTACCCACATTTACATAAAAACCATTTCTAAAGTAACCTTTAAAAAGCCCCAAAAATAGTTAATAACTTACAACACAGTACCAATTATATCACCGAGGCATCCAAAAAAGTTAATAATTTATGAGCCGAACTGTAACATTTACAACTTTTCTATCATTTAAAATGATCAATTATACATCCACCAGAAAATAACATTGGAATATTTAAATAAAATATAGAAAATCAATTGCTCAGACGAAACATTGTGAAACTGAGTGCAGCAAAAAACAAACAAAAAGGCAATAGAAGAAAATAACAAACTGGCCACTTAATTAAGCTGACATTTTCCATTTTCACACAGCTCAATTATCATCTAATAAACATTTTGAAGAGTCTTAAAAAGCTTGTGGCTTAGCAAAGATGTTGCTCTAATAATCTATTGATTTAAAAACTAATACCATTCATAGAATTTGGTAATTGCTAACAGATGTTTAAATTTTTTAAGATGGGGAATCACTACCTGTCAGCGTTTTTCTTTAATCCAAACTTTGCATGGTATATTTAAACTGCTGTAAAGCAACATAAATCAACAGCCCAATAAGCCATGCAAACTAGTGACATTTGATGACATGGCATGTGAATAAGAGTGATTGTTACATTTAAAACAGCAACTTAAAACGATGTTTAGTCCATTAATAAAAAATAACAGTTATGACGCAGTTTCGGAAGATTTATTTTTCTTTTCATACAAAAAATAGGACATATAGTTTGGAAATTTCCTGTTCTACTGACAAGAGATCAGGCTGGAATTTGGTGCAAACTTGTTAAATGTTTTAAGAGCACATAACTAGTGGCATCATCCCCTCATTCAGCAGCAGTGGTCTGCCTGAGCTGGGGGAAAAGAAAGGGAAAATGGTACCAAAATATTGGAAATTTCTAATGATCATATGCTTTTGAAGGTGGACTGTCGGGGAGGGGCATAAAGGTTTATTTTTGTGTGTTGAGCTCCAGTGTAAATGTTACTCGCTGACACCTGGAGAGGAGCAATTATTACAAGGCTTACAGGCAAAAAAAAAAAGAAGAAAAAAAGAACTAGCGCTAAGCCTCCTCCTTCACTCATAACTAGAGGCTTTCAGCAGAAAACCAGCTCTTATTAATAATTTGTGTTTGTGTGTCATGGTGCTGGCTTTGGGCACTTTTGGCTTTTTGATATATAAAGCTGAGGATCCAACGAGCGCACTGAGACTCTTCACTGAAACATACAAAACAGATGTGACAGACAGAAAACAAGTTAATCAATGAAACGGATAAAACATAGTATGAAGAAAAAGCCTGAAAAGGCAGAATATGGTGAGATATTACAGCATGTTCAGATGTTTTTGCAGCACTTTGATTTTTTTGTAAGTCTTTATAGTCACTTCTTTTTTGTTACTTCATCCATGCTTCAATAACATTTTTTTGGTTTATAGATTTCCTCCACATTTGATTTATGACACAATGGCGAAATGACAAAAATATCCTGCTTTCTTACAGAAAACCTAACCAGTAATCCTCACATTCATGTTTCTTGTAGAAGGAAAATAAATCCTGTTTGGCAGCAAGAAACCACCTCCTTCAATCGACGCGATCTCATTGTCATCACAGTCAGCTTTTTTTTTTTCTGTTTAGGTTTGGTTATGTTTCCAAATGTGTGTCTTTTCTACCGGCACCATTAGAACAGCTGAAGTATCAAGTCAGGCCCCCAGTCCATGGCGGTCTGAGCCACAGCGAACACTGCAGCTCCAAGTGTAGCAGACAGCCCCCACACCGCCATCTTCATCATCCGGTTCCCTTCCCTCCATAACTGGCCTTGAGCTGCAGGCAAGGAGGCTTCCAGGCCTGTTTTACAGGAGTCAAAGGATAAAAAGGGGTAGAAACATGCAGGGGTCAGGAGGAGTCACCATGTTGAAGGCTTAAACAGTTGCTTTAAATGAAACCCTCAAATAAATTCATCTCTATTATAGCATGAAAACCTAGATCCAGAGGAGACTTTTGACAACTATACTGTTGATCATCCAGAGAAATTTTCTCTTCTCTTTTATATTATTTAGGTCTAAGGACTAAAGCAATATTGTCTCTGATCCACAATATTTCTGGTTTATTTTGGAGTCCACCAGCTTTTTTTTATTATTTTCTGGGTATTTCATAAAGCTGATGATGCCACAGACTAAAAAGAGGCTCCCAGGAGATTTGGAAGAGAAAAAAAAAAATTACACTAAGCATCACTGATTCTCTGCCATGTTTAATAACTCCAGATTTTTACATATGCAGTATTCTACACAAAATGTATGCAAAGAGGTTGTTGCTAAAATGCAAAACCTTTTCCCACTACTTTTTGTCCTGTTAAAAATGTAAACAGAAGTCCCTATAAATTGTTCGTCTTGGTATCACTTCTAATCACCTGCCTGGTAAGCAGAGGTTTTATTTTTCCACATCTTGCAAGATGATTTAGCGAGATTATGCTAATGCAGTAAAAGACAAATTTATTTTAAATATTTTTAATTAGAGTTTAAATCAATTCAGCAAATAACTATAGTGTCTTTTAAATATATGGTTGGACTGCAAAAAAAAACAAAAAAGATTATCTGAAAAGTCAAAACAGTAGGTGTAGAGAGACCAATACGGCAATTAATCACAGCGCAAGAATTAAAGTCATCAAAAAATAATAATAATAATGTACGTACCGTGCTTGGCTAAAACATGAAATCTAATTAACCCCATGAATCTGCACTGTGGCTCTTATTATATCTTATTGTGTAGTTTATCGTTCAGAACAGAAAACCGTTCTCATTTTTATAGACTGGAGTTTGTTGAGGCACTAAAATATGGTTTCAGCACATCTATGCTCATATAAGCACTTTTATGTAAACCAAGGGAACAAAACATTTCAAAAGAAGGTAATTACAGGTATTCCATTCAACTATTAGATATTGGCATTAATTTAATTAATTTATTCAGTAGATTTTCCATGTGCAAAACATGATTTTCTACCTTCTGGTTATATTTTGCTCCAACTGCAGGGAATTATATTCCTCAGGTTTATAATTAAAGTGTTCACCCTAAAGCTGATGCCACATAATATCTCAGAGTCTGTGTAAATCACTGACAGCATGTCAGACGCTGCTGTTCAGATCTCCACAGAACACACGGGAGTAATGCATCTCTTTGTTCTGTTCTGGCATATTTAAATCTGCACTTGATTGGTCTGATGGGGGTGCTACAACATTTGTTTACATGTTATTGATTGTGCCAGAGGGGAAAGTGTTTACTGCTGCCTTGTTTTGAAGAATTATATCACTGAGGTGGGAAAACCCCCAAAGCTAAGATCTCTGGAAGGATTGTAGTCAGAAATTTCACAGATAATATTCATTTTTGCAACCTTCAAAGGCTTTGCATCAACAATACGTCTTTACTCCACATGTATGTGTGAAACGTGTGAGTGCTCTCTATGTGTAGAGCAGTAATAAGATTACAGTAACTATTTTTACCATGTCTGGAGGTGGTGGAGTCCTGGGCCCTGGTGAGGCGCTGGAGAACAGAGTCTGGCCTCTGGTGGAGGGTGGAGAGATGAAATGCCTGGAAGCTGCTTATGGACAGGCTGATGCAAGAAATCAAGAGAGAGAGAGAGAGAGAAAGATGAATGGAAAGAGAGCGTAAGCCATCAATATAGAAGAAAACTAAAGCCTAGGGAGGTGAGAAGATAGACTGATGGATAAAGTGATAGATAAAGACAAGTAAGGCAGTGAGGGTTGAGGGTGTTTGGGAGAAATACTATCCCTGTGCTTCTAGGCAGTGGAACGCTAATGTATGTTTGGAACATTTATATCTTTCAGCGTGTCACTCAAGGTCTTGTGTCACTTCTTGCCCTAAACAATGACTTCCGGCGACACCGAAGGACGCTGACATGCAGAAACACACTCGTAGCAGGGGAGAGACAGGGAGTGACGGGCCCTGCCTGCCTAAAAGGTTTCCCCTCAATAATAAAAGGGCAAAGAAAGCATGTAGACCAACACAATGAATTACTGCCATATCTGGGTGATGGAGTCAGAGTTTGAGTTAGGAGCTCCCCCTTTTGGTTACTGAAAGAATTACACTGTGCTTCCTGAAGTAGAGAACCCTAAATGCGCCTCATGTGTCTAAATTCACACACAGCAGTTTAGACGATAGCGATATTTATAAAAAATAAAAATAAAAACTGAACACACATGGAACTGCGCAAACAACCCAAAGCAAACATAAGTGATTAATTTTAATCTTTGTGATCAAACTTATATGGAAAGAAAAAACTGAAAATAAGCTGCGTTGAACCAAGTAATCAAAGGACTAGTTTTTTTTATACTTGTACGTCTACAATAACTGTCAAACACTTATATGTCGTAAACACTTTACTATTGTTCTACTGTTTCTTTTAAATACTACATCCATTTAAAATGTTTTATCACCGTGTTAATTTAAACCAAAAATCAATGGAAATTTGAGCTGAATATTATACATTCTGTCAAATATAAAACTTAACGTTCTGCATTATGTTGCATTTATAATTTGAACACCAGCTAAGCCATAATGTTAAGTGTTTGATTAATTTAGCATGGCTAAAAAATCTGCAACTGAAAGAGACCGCAACCATTAAACATTAGTAGGCAAAAAAAAAAATATGCTATAGGTTTTACGCCAATGCAGCAGGAATACCAAAATAACATTATGTTATTTCATGCTGCATAATGCAGATAGTCTGTCAGCACAGAAGTATATTAGAAGATGAAAAAATAAAAAATCTTCTGCTTCTGATTATTTCTGCTAATGGAAGATAATTGGGACCATTTAATACAGAAAATAAACAAGACGGTGAAATCACAACATAAAATTTGACACTCTTCATCTCATTACTCTTTCTGTAATGTGGGGAGATCCTTGATAGTAAACAAACATCAACATAAAACTAAACAGAAAATGATGCTTCCCAAAATCTGCTAGAAATTTATATTCAGGCATGAATCATATTTTTTATATACACTGCACTAATGTGTGACGTGAGTTCTTGTGGAATTAAAACGTTTTATCTGAATGTGAAAAAGGGCTTTTGGGAAAGTCTCGCACTAAGAAAATGTTCAGAAAAATTTAAAGGGATCCCTAATTAGAGCTAAACATAACTGTGTGGCCAGTTGGAAAAAAGATGGATGAATAAATATTTTATATGCAAAGGTGAAATGTGGATTATTTAATCAAAAGACTGTTTGCCTACCAAAAGCAAACTTGAAGTTTTGCAGGGACAATGAATAACTGATACACAGTAATAAGCTGGAACTGAATATGACAGAAAGTAAAAGAGGTAATCAAAAACTACAGAGAAAATAAACAGAGTCATTTCGAGGAGTCTTTACTTCTGTGTGCTCCAGGTCGATTAAGCAGCTATTAAATTCTAATACCCAGTATAAACACAGATCTGCCTGTTAATGGTTTTTCTAATAAGTAGCTTAAACACCAGGGCCAAAGATCTGAACTAGAGTAATATAACCATATTAACCACTTTAATTTTATCCGTCGCCCCCTCACCTCTTACGAGACTGTAATGCAGCCCGTTTGGCTAGTAATGATGGAGGGTACTGTTCGAACAGGTCCTGGGCCTGGCCAATAAGAAGTTCATATGGGAGGTTCTGTGGGATTTGGGAGAGCAGGTGGTGCACCATAGCCATGTCGCACTCTGTTTGCTTTACCTCCTTCTCTCTGTGTAACACGATCTGAGGAGGAGAAATGGAAAGGATTTAAAATACCACTACTTTTCCTCCTAGTTATTTAGCAGAATGAGAGCAGAATAAGAGTTCAAAGACTGAGGAAAACTATTTCCCCTTATCTGAAATGTTTATTTAGGCATCATTAATAATACTGTTTTTTTTATTTGATGAAATTAGATTTTTCTTTAAAAATGTAAACTCTGAGTTGCTAAACTGATTTTGGCTTGTGAGGTCTTTTTCAGTTTTTACAGTAACATTAACCACTGCTCAGTTTCTCACATGGAAGGAAATATAAATTAGCTCTACAATAAGTCAATAAGCTTTTTAAAATGTAGTAAATGACAAATGGGAAGTCCTTTTATACACTTTATTCTCTTAGTCTTTACAAATCGTGAGCAATGGGTTGAAAATAAGGTAGAAAAACCAAAGAGGACAAACTGATAACACCAAGGATGCAGACTTGCAGGTTTCACTAAAGCAGCCTAAAGAATTCTTTTCTGCAAAGCAATCTCTTCCACTCATAAAATTAGTCAGCTTTTTTTTAATCTTCCAACATATACGCCATATTTACTACCGTGCACGAGTCTAAACATGAGGAGATTTTATTGCATTTCACAAATAGCGAGGGTCAAATTAAAGGAACAGCGTAGTGCTGCACTATAATATGTATAATTTTTCACATTAATTGCCTAAATCTATATCCAGAGTGGATGCTATATTCTAGTTGAAAATATCTATGTAATGTTAGACCCATGTGAAAAAAAACAAGAGCACCAATCATCTGTTTTGTAATGAAACAGGGAAAAAGTTAAAAAACTGTAAGCTGATAATATATCGCTATATTAAGCTGTAGTGCCGCCAAGTGGTCATGGAAATATTAGCTGCATTCATCTGGGATTAATGCAAACAGGAGAAAAAAATCCAATATGTCATGTCATTCTAAAAGCTAGAAATGTACAAGACTGGACCATGAAAAATCATCTTTTTTGACAATTAATTGACAAAAATGTACATATTTTAGCTGTATTTCTAGAGGCGATGTTGCAGTTTAACCCTTTATAGGGCAAGCTACCATTTTTGATCACTTGCATACTCCTTAAAAATGGAGTCCCCCAGTCCCTCAGTGAGGTCTAGAAGCACAAGATCTATATCCAGTCATTCAGCAAAGATACTGCTACATTGCTGTACATCTTATTTTGGCATTTGACCAATTAGATAAGTCCTTGAATGATATATTACCTACGGTAAATTAAGTTGGAAAAAAAAGTTAACAGGTCAAGAAAACAAAAAAGGTAAAAAGCTAATTGAAAAGTTAAAAAGTTAATGAGCCTCTAAGGTTATGTTGTACCAGAAAAAAATAAGTGTTTCTTTCACTCTCAGCGTGTTTTTCATGAATTTTTCATAGAAGCACTTTTGTTATTTTTCTTAATATATTCGGGCAAGTTGGAGTTTTTTGTTATTACCCTGACATTCATTTTTGCCATCAAAATATCCATATTTTTTTATGTTACAAAGGTAATGAGGTCTTGCGCTGGATTCCAATAACACACTACAAGAATGATCTAAAAATTTGTGGAAATGTTTTAAAACAAGTGTATATACCCTTAATTTGAGTAGGTAAATAAGGAGCATTTTTATCCTTAAAATCAGATTATTTGATATTATGCACCTGAAATAGGAGACAGCATTTTTTTCCCCCTTATTTTAAATGTACATTTCTTGTTCCATTGGCAAATTGTCTCACTTACCTGCTCAATTCAAGAAAAAAATGCACTTATTTTAGGAAAAATTGACTTGGATTTCAGTTATTTGCAGTGCACTCTTTCACTGAGTGCCCTATAAAGGGTTAAAGAAGTAATCAATCAGAACAGCTGTCTGCTTCCCATAAAACCCTTTGGATTTTAGTAAATACATTTTAAATAGAGCTGCATTATATAAACATATTAGATCTTTTTTTCCTTATACATTATTCTGTGGCTTTAGTACACTGGACACCGACTTCTGCATCAGATTTTTATATCTAGTGCACTAACACTTCATCCAAAAGGGTAAAATTCTTATGAACATGCTACATCTGTGTTCATGACTATTGGGGGAAGAAAAAAACCAACGTGCTTTATTCCAAATAACTTTACTTATATAACATATTTCATCTCTTTCTGGGATAAATACTGTCCCATTTATTTCCAATCCAAGCCTCCTGCTGTGCCCTGAACTCAGGCCCAGAGGGAAAAAATTAAATTGCTACTTTGTTGCCCAGACTTCAAGCAGAGCCCTCCTTCTATTCAGCTCCAACACAGAGACAAGTGGATACTAAAATACCCACAGCAGCAACATTGCTTAACAGAATATCAAATAAGTATTTTCAAAAACTAATAGAACCTTAAAAAACAAAACAGTGAACATATCTAAGTAAATTATTTCGCAAAACACACCAAAATCCCTCCTTTTAACAAAGGGCATGCAAAGTCCAAATATCTGTTCTGCTAAATCCTGTCGCTTTTGCTGTACTTTCTCTGGTCAATGCATGTCACATAATTAGCATGTTAAAATACTTAAGAGTGGTTTCTTCACTGAAAGTATCACACTGTCTGTGTAGACATGGTCACATGTGAAAAGCTTCTTACCGTAGCAGCAAGGTAGATGGGCATCAATGGATGGGAGGCCAGAAAGAAGTCATAGAGCCTAAGAGTGTGTTTAAAGTCTGAGAGGACGTGGCCGTACCATGTGATGAGCCAGGAGAGGGCGAAGATGGTTCCTACCTCTGCCCTGAAACAGAAAGGGCACACAGACAGAGAAGACATGAAAACATGCAATCCAAGAATATATATATATAACGAATAGTATTTTCTCAACTTAAAAAAAATGTGGTAAACAAAATAAAAAGAAAAGATAAACATCAACCAAGTTCCACTAAATAGTTTCTTAGGTGTTAGTTGTGAGAAGTTATATAATGGAGGGTCTCTAAAAGAGAAAATATTCAGAAAAACTTTCAGCAGCTGCTAAAAAGATATAGAAGCTTCTTTTGCAGCAGCTGATTATTATTATGATTATTGTTTTGGGTTTTTTTTTTTTTTCAAAACAGCAACAGATAGTCAGGATAAAACCTTTTAAGACTGGATAATTCACATTGGATTATAATAAAATTTAGATTTTGAATTCTGCTAAAATGCATTCATCAAGTATTACATCATGTAAAAATTCAAATATTCAAAAGTAAGAATTTAAGAGCCTCAGAGCATCATCAAGGTTTTTATCAACTGTTGATTCATTCTTAAAACATATATTTATATAATAATTTATTGTACAATAAAGTCCACTGGTATGCTCCTGTCGTGCTGACATGTCACAGTGGATGCCCCAAAAGCTGAGGACGTCACAGATTCAAACATTTTCTTGTAAGTTTAACCATTACTTAAAACATGAAGTTAAGCTAACTTACTCATTGCGCTCCTCTGTCAAACGATAAAATAAAGTCTAAATATATTCATCGAGTGAAACCAACAAAAGAAAACCTGTTCCTGCTCCTGCCTATGTGCAAAAATGTCATCACCTGGCCTGTAAGTTGACTCTACTGAGCCCCTATAGGGAAACTGAAGAGGGAGGGGGGAAAAAAACAAAACAAACAAACATTTAATCAATTTTCCAGACATATTGCAAACATCCATCTATATTCTTTTCAGTTGACCAGTCGTTTACAGGTGTGTTTGAATTAATGCCACAACATAATCAAAGTTGGTGTATCCCTTGCCCCAAAATAGACCACAGGGCTTCCGGATACGTTTCAAATGATGTTCATACACAACATAATGGTGACATCTTGCAAGCAATGCTGCAATGTCTTTGTATGGAAGCCCAAACTGAAATACAGCCTAATTAGTCCATGTACGTCCATTTTAATGAACAATGTCTGAAAAACTCATGCAATCATCCGAGAAATTATCTGGTGTGCACATTAAACTAACGAGAAAGTTTTTTTTTTTCTCTTCAGTGTCCATTTAGGGGCTCAGTACTATTGTGCATATGTTTGTTTGTGGTGTTGGGATTTTTGTCATGCATTGTAGAACTTAAATTGCATATGGGTTCTTATTTTTTGTTTATTCACAGTTCTTGCTGTGGGACAATTTATGTCAGAGCCTGTCTACCTGGGAGAAAAAGTGGACATTTATTATGTGGGGAAGGGGTTTGTGTTTATTTTGTGACGGCTATTTTTGTTTTCAAGTAAAAGAACTGTGAAACCTAATTTTCTGTTGTTGGTTTTATGTGTGAAAAAAAGTTTCATTGTTCCTAAGGGTCTACACACTGAAGTGTATGGTCCTTGTGTAAGAATAGAGAAAAAAATCCTACTTGTCATGAGAGATACCCGACTGGCACCACTACAATAATCGGGGGAAAAAAACACATAAAAACGAAAGTACTAAACTTTTTAAACCTGTCTTTACACGCATCCAAAAGGTTTATATTAAGATCGGATAACTATGGAGTTGTTCTTGTCCCCCCAATTGGGAGTCCTTGCTTAGACTCTCCAACATAAAAAATTATGAATAAAAAAAAAAAATGGAGGACCCTGATCTAAAGCAGTGCCGTAGTGTTTCTTCTATTTCTGTCTGTGTGCCTGAGGTGTAAAGTAGCCAGCAACAATTAACACACATTGATCTCGGAAATTTTCCAATAAGAACACAACTGCTCTTAATTATATCAATTTTGCAAAACAAATTTCCTAAAATCTACTTTGTGGCTCCCATTAGTGGACACCTACAAGGTAAAAAAAAAAAAAAAAAAACAAGTGTTACTTTAACACCTATATAGTTGAATATAACTCTGTTTCAGATAACATTTGGTTACACCCCAAATTAGTGCAAAATTTACTTTGTAGCTAGTGATTATTTCAGAGTTAATTTTACTCATATTAGAGTCAAAATCAAGAAGACCTCGGTTACCCGCCAAGAAGAGACTGGTGGGTAACCCACACTATATAGAGTAAAAGTTACACTTCAAATTTGAAACTGATAGTTAACTCCAACATTTGTGCAGATTTACACTCAACATAGAGGGTAAAGACTCCATTTAGAGTTAAATAAATAAATCCGAATTATTAACACCCAATTTCTTACTGTGTATATCCTAAAAAAAATTCATATTTCCTGTCATTGTTTCAATACCTGTTCATAAAGTCATGCAGTTCAACATCAACTTGTTCCAATATGGGCATTAGGTAGTTCAGTATGTGTTTGGTGCTGTCCATGGTTGCATCCATGAAATCCCTAGAAGGAAAAAAAAAACATAACAGATTGAATAACTTTTTTCAAATATTTTAACGTACAAACCTTTAATTCAGCGGCTGTGAAAAATAAGCTAACCTGAGATGGACATTGGACAATTTATCCAACAAGGCAATGGTCATCCGCTCCCCAACCACCAACAGCAGAGTCACAGCCACATCATGGTAGCCCTGATAATAGTGGAGTTGAGGGTTACGTTTCAGAACCTCCAGGATGATGTCAATCAGCTGTTCCTGAAGCACGGCTCTCTCTGCGGCTGGCATACCTTCAGAAAGCACAAGAAAGAAGCATAAAACACTGATGCAAGAAACAAAGTACCTTTTTCTGTTGTTTTTTTTAAATTAAGTTCACAGCATTTAAAGATTATACTGTTCTTTACTGCTCAGAAGGTTCCCTCATTCATTCATTCTAATTAATTCATTGGCTAATAATAGCTAAAACTCTACCAGGCACCAGCAATTTATAATAGCAGCAGTAACATATTTATTTTATAGAGTAGTGGGTAATTATAGAAGTGGTTTGGAAAAGTCACAGGGCAGGAAAGCATTCCTCCACAGTAATGTGACTGATAAGGTCAAACAGCTACTTCAACTGTATGAAGTTATCTCACAGGCAGCCGATTTAATATTTAGAAAGATTCTGATTCAACATTTAGAAAGAGCTCAGAAGGATATCTCTTTTTAATGATTTTAAAGATAAAGATACATTTAGAGAAACATTTGTGCTGTATTATTACACAGGCTGCATGTACTGTATTTGTGATTATAGCTAGTAAGCTCTTTCTTTAGTTGGTTTTCCTTGGTGACCTGGTCAAGAGAAGACAATCCCTATTGTGTAAGTTTTCCTATGTGGAGCTTTACCTTTGCTAATGAACTATTTAACCTTATCAGATAACACTCAGTGCTGTGCCAGGTACAGGGGGGTGAAGCCTGATAAATGTCACAGTGAGTTACAGGGTGGAGAAAACACAGACATAAAGGCACCTTTAGGGAATCGCTTCATGGACCTTCTGACATCCATGACAACTTGATTGTAGTCCTTGTGGTTCTCCCTCACATCTCGACCTGAAGTAGAAAGAATGACGACATTAGTATAGCAACTTGCAAAAGTATTGAAACTTCTGGAAATTGATGGGTTTTTCTGAATTTTTTTTATATATATATATATATATATATATATATATATATATATATATATATATATATATATATATATAGACATGGGATATCTAGAGACATGGGATTTTGTCTTAGTTTTTATTTTTTTTATTTTGCAAACTTAAGAGCATTTAAAAAAGGATTCTTAACTCTTGATCTAAACATTTACATTACATTATGCCTTGGGCTGAACGTATACTGTGACTGTGATGGTGGAAGGTGAACTTAGACCCAACATTTACTGTGTGTCTTTTGTTTTTAATTGCTATATTTTTTGTCCATTCAGATCTAAACCACAGTGTCTTGCTATACCAATCAAATCTGCCCAGGGTTTCAGAATCAGCAGTGCTGGTTGATGTTAACTTAATATTAGTTAGGCACGTTTTCTACAACCAATCAGATTTCAGATTTGCCCCACAGGGCCAGCTAGAGGGCCTACCTGAACGTAAGCATTTCCTGTCCTCTGATTGGTCAGAGCAAAATGTCTACAGCCAGGTTAAGCGAGTGACAATCTACCTTTAAGATTCCCTTTTGTTAGACGTTTTTTTGGCTCAGTCGCTGATACTAAATGGAGATACAAAGACTTCCTGCACAAAGATAGATTGTGTTTATAAATAATCTGCATCTATGGTCAGTACAATATATTCTATTTTCATTTTTTATTATCTATTTTATCTAATAAATAAATGCATATTGAATCTGAACAACTAATGATGATTTCCTTGTTGTTAAATGGGCTTCTTGCTTAATTGATATTTGCATTCACCCTCTCGCTAAACTTCCTCTGGGCTATACCTACGCTACATTTCATATTTGAATAATGTTGGCAGTTTCTTTTATTAAAATGTGAAAGTGGTGATATTAACCCATTGACACTCATGGTTGCAAATATGCAACAAACTCTTTGTATTACCAACATAACATGTGCATTCCCTCAGTGCCAGTTACTACACATTCAGGTGATAGGATCCTTTGGCAATCTCTTGTTTGTGTTACAACTGGTTCCTAAGTCCTTACATGGCGGGATACATTAGCTATGCCTGCTTGGACATAAGTGATCTGAATAAAGAGCATATTGGACTAAAATATTAAATGAAAACACGCCAGTCAAAATATCCTAAACACCTTCAGTAGGATTGATATGAAACTGTAATTGGACTGAGTGTATCAGCATGCCTCTAAAAACTAAATGGTAGATACGCTTTTTCAAGTCAGGAGACTTGACCAAAGCGCTTTAGACTACATTCAGTCATTCACACACACATTCAGTCATTCACACACACTCACACACTGATGGTGGCAAGCTACATTGTAGCCACAGCTGCCCTGGGGCTCTCTGACAGAAGCGTGGCTGCCGTACACTGGCGTCACCGGGCCCTCTGACCACCATCAGTAGACAATGCAGGTGAAGTGTCTTGCTCAAGGACACAACGACACTGAAAGTCGGGGGTGTGGCTTGAACCGTCAATCCTTCGATTTCAGGGCAAACTCCTACATCCGACGCCACTGTCGCCCCAAAAACTAGTCAGGATTAAGTTATTCTGAAGGAAGCAACCTGATCTGAGAGCCATGTGCGCCCCACATCATTGTGATGAATTTATGCTCTCATTGGCTATATGTTCTAGCTAATGCTACGTTCACACCACACACACTTTAAGCAGCAGAAGCAGCCGCTTTATCTGCAAAGTCTATGGTTGACGGGCATCAACATTTCCTGTAGTGCTTCTAGAGCAGCACATCTTGACGCATCTGAGGCAGCACCTCATGAGCTTCTAAGCATCTGAGGTGTGTGACTCGCTTCACAAGCAGCAAATGCTTGAGTTGGAAAAATGTTATTTTAGCCGCACGATGCACCACATCAACCAACCAGAGCGCTGGTATGTGGGGGTCTGAAAGGCTCCGACAGAGAAATTTTAAGCCAGGATCATAATCTTGATGAACTGACTGCAAAGAACATGTTTTAGGTGAACTTTCTCGCATAAAAAGTACTTTTTACCCACTTATAACAGCAAATATAGCAAAGCTGCTCTCTACCATTGAATACGCATCTGAACACACTTTGATGCGCCTCAGGAGCATCAAATTAAACGGGGCTAAAAACATTTGCATTGCAGACTTAAAAATGTTTGAGGCAAGTAATACTTTCTTTCCAATTTACAAACATGCATTATTTATAGGTATACAAGCAAATGATATAGCATACATTTAGGTTTGTAGTTCTCTAGATTTCTGATATGAATGCAGAGCACTCCATAAGGTTTTTCTACATTGATTTATGTAGTGGTTGATTGAAAAATTACATTAATGTAACTATCATTAATACAGTTAATATATGTATATATACGTATATATATATACGCAGTTATATATATATACACTAACCTGGTTTGTGTGGTAGGTCGTACACATTTATGTTCAGTAATTTAGGCCACACTTTTCTCCTTAGCTCATCAGTCAGTAGCCCTCCTTTAGTGGCAGCAGTTCTCCTCAGGGTCTCAATGTCCACTGGATCTCTATCCATTCAGAAACAAAAAGATCAATATGGAATTCTCTAAAGTAAAGTAAGATTCCTCATTAAATTCATTTTGTACTAAAAGAATGGGGCATTTTTTCGTATTTTCCAGAAAACAGAAATAAGAACACACAGTACAGGCGTGAACAAAGTTTTTGAGAGCTTCAAAGGAGGATTGTAACATCAAACTAAAGTAAACCAGGGAAGTTCAAAAGTTTAACAGAATTAAGTTAAAACCAATTTAAACAACATTTCAATGTGTGTTTTTGCATAAAAAATATACAGTAATCTGATTACAACCTTATCAAAGCCTGATGAATGACAGTCAGTTTATGCTTCCTTCCACAGTCCGATTCTGGAAGAAATCAGAAGGAGATTTTATTAGAGAAATAGATATTAGAAAAAATAACCAACAGCGAACACAAGGAAACAAAAAAAACAAAAAAACAACATAGTCATGTTTTCCAAACTGTGTTTGAGTTCCTCTGTTTGTATTTGAGCCACCTTTAGCTATTCTGAAAGCTACATTAGTATTACTCACAAGTTTACAGAGCTAAACTAACTTTTACCAAAATGTTGAAATAATTCACAGATTGAGTTACAAAGAACAACACAAACCTTTACCTTGTTCAACTTCAACAAGCTGGTTGAATAATTTGCAACATTTGACAATAGCTTTACTGAGTGAACCTAATAATTGATGCTAACCAATATACGCTACTGACAATTTTTTTATGTTAAAAATAGTAATAATAAAAAATAATGTTTTTTAATTGTCCTAAAAACTGTTTTTCGAGTGTGACTAACGTAAACACACACATAGATATATA